TTAAGGTTAGTGAGATTAACAATTACATAATGAATATTGGGATCTTTTTTACTCCTATTTTTGTTAACTGGAAATTTGAGTTGTTGGCAATATGTGGGCAATTGAGACTATGGATACGTTTTATTTGAAGAATTGTTTTCACCTTTTTCTTTAGGATTTTTGTGGGTGTACTTTACTTGGTTTGGGTGTTGTTGATATGGGTTCGATTTCTTGTTTCTTTTTGGATCTACCTTGCAGTGGGAAATTTAAATTGAAATTATTATAACAAAAGATTTAACCTCCATTGAAGTACTTTAAGCTTTGAGAAATAATGGGAGAGATAGTGGTTGTAAAATGGGAAAGAAGAAGAGAAAAAATAAAATAAAATAAAATAGGCTAAATAAGCCCCTTACACGTCAATAGCGAGTGTATAACACTCACTTTGCCATGTCAACGGAAAGTGTCAAAATGACACAACAGAGCCTGGCATGAGGTGTTTAAAATGAACAAAGCCTAGTTAAAGTGTCTAAGTGAAAATTGCTGCCAACTTTAGGGGGCCACCGATGAGTTAGGCCCATTGAAATTAGCCCACCTCATTAGAGCTAGCTCACACGGGTTTTGAAATTTGACAGATCAAGCCGAGCTCATCCATAATTTTGACAGGCCCTAAAATAGCTAGTCTAATCATCACTATGTGGGTTGCGTCGGCCAATCCACTTTTTTTTTTAAAAATAATTGGAGAGACTATATAATTAGACATACTCCACTACCATATATATATATACATATATATATATATTATTGTTACCTATACTTTTAAATTATTACATATTTTATCAGTAATTAAGAGTTTTCTACTATATTAAGGAAGATACATGTATTTTTGCTATCAGATACTAGGAGTGTTCAAAATCAAATCGTAACTGTTAATCCAACCGCAAAATTGGCTTATTGATATTGGGTTATCAAATAAACGGTTGGTGAACTGATAAGTATTGTATAATTAACAGCTTATTGGTGTGTGTGTGGGGGAGGGGGGTATTCAATTTCCTTATCGAATAAACCGTTAACCCGTTAAGAGTTCTCATACTTACACTTTTAACTTATGTATATTAGCATAATTTAATATTTTTCCATTGTATATTGTTAATCCTAAGACCGTGAAGCCAAAAACTTGAAAACATATTTACTCTTCTGTTATTAACTATATATATATATATATATATATATATATATATAATATAGAAGAATTTTACATTTTAATTGCATTTAAAATACGGGAAAGAAGTCATTTTTTAAAGGTGCGTTCATATAGAAAAAAAGGTAGAGTTTAGCGGATACACCGTCCAATAACCGCCCGATAAATGCTAATTTATTATCGAACCAACCAATATCTTATATGTTGGCTAGCAGATTAGTAAATTTAAAAATCGATATCCATTAGGCCAAACTGTTAAGCGAGATTATCCACCCAATCTGTCTAAGCCCTACCAGATACACTAAAAAAGGTAGGGAGACGAGCGAGATGGGGAAGGAGGCGAACGAGATTATCATGTATCTCAGTCCCCATATACATATGAGAGTGGTGAGCGAGATGAGAAGAGGCGAGGGAGGCGAGCGAGATTTTTTATGTATCTTAAATAAATGTGAATCCACTTGGATATAGTATATTAGAACAAATTCCACCTAAATTTGACCCAATGTATCCTGAGATACATGTATCTGGATGCACCAAAATCTGATAATATTCGTACTATTACAAATTAGAGTGTGTCTAAGTAATTAACTCCTAAACTATTAAAATTTCTACAAGTTTCCCAAAAAAAATTGTAATTTTTAAAATTTGAATCTAGTTTTAAAATGTTAACATAAATATCTATATGGTGTTGCTATATATATATATTTTTTAAAATTACCTAACTACACAATCTTTCTTTCCATATTCTCTAAAATTTCCTACCATTTTAAAATATTACAAAAATCCCTATTTTTCTCTCCTTCTCTAGATACATAACTCACAGTTCTCTAACCCAACAATTTTTGTTCCTAGACTAAAATCACTCCAACAGATCAGTAGTTACCTTCATCATTCTATTTTTGAATTTCAAATCTATTATTTCTCCAGTTCATCGATTTCAAGTTCCTAAAGAGGTAGAACTATTTCTTCATCATTTGTTTTCTTTCCAGTTCTTGAATTATTGTTTTTTTTTAAAAAAATAATTCTTTTTAGCTTTTTCATCCACAATTTTCTGATACATAAAGATTTTGATGATGAAAACTTTCATGAAAAATAGATATAAACAACGAAACGATGGATCTACAATGTTTATCCTGCTAAATATAAGTGTTGTTGATACATACTACTTAATGTATCATTTATATGTTTCAAGTTCTACAATATATCTTTAATCTTATTCAAATTATAGACAGTAGTAAATCAGTTGTGTGTTATGTATCTACGATCTTTAATGTTTGTTCAGTCTTATCCAACTTAGAAGGCTATGTATATGTTTATATTATCCAAAAATAATATTGATACATTAATCATAATGTTCTATAATTAGAGCAGTATGTATCAGTTTCAATAATAGGTATACGATACAGAACAATGACAATATTGACTACTTTATTATGTATCAAATTATGGTAATTATGTAACAACAAACTAACACATAGCGGCACAATTTTGTAACCATCTTATAAAATATAGCGGCACAATTTTGTATACTAGACACATTGGAAATATTCGTTCATGTTTCTTCACCTCCAAGTACAGACTAACGAAGATATTCATGATATATCTTCTCAAAATTTTTGACAAAGGATCATCGATAAACTGGGAGAAGAATTTTGAATCTCAATTTTTTTCCGATAATTTTGAATCAAAACTGAAAGGATCTTTGATGAACTGAGAGAAGAATTTCAAATCTCAATTTTTTTTGACAATTCTGAATAAAAATCGAGAGAATCTTCAAACAATTGTATAGGGATAAAGCAACACTCGTCTCTGTAATGTCTCAAATCTCTAGATTTTTCTCAACTCATTGATCTCCAAGCTACAATGGTTGATTCAACGCACCTCACTTTCTCACATTCTTGAAAGTCTCAACAAAATAGAGATATTCATGATGTATCAACTCAACTTTTCAATGATTTTGAATTGAAATTGAAAAGATTTTTGAAAATTTTGGAGAAGAAATTTGAAATTTGATTTTTTTGATGTTGTTATGCTTTGGGAGAGATTGATTAGCAGTGAAAACAACATAATTGCATGATTTATGGATTTGATATTTAATTTATGTTTTTGTTCCTTTTTAAGCGCAACAGAAAAGATTTTATTCCTTTTTTTAGCGCAACAAAAGAATTCTTCTTGTATCGAATTAATGTATCCGGATGGTGAATTAATGTATATGGATGGTACAAATTTTAAGGAATTATTGTAATTAGAAAAAGAGTAGGGATAGAATCTGGTGTTACTATTCGCTAGGTTCTAATCAAGTCTCAAATCCATAAACACAATAATCTTAGTTATACTAATTGATTATGACTTCAAGTAAAGATTTGATTGTATAGTTTCAATCTGAATTGTTGTCATTCTATGCAAATATCTTCAGTACAACTAATCAGAAAGCAATCTTGTTGGACATAAAACTTATATAAATCTAAATAACTTTTGACTTGATACCACTTGAACCAAATAAAAATGCTAATAAGTAAATTAAATTGATAATGAATAAAATACAATTAATTGTTAAATATAAATATTAACTTATTTTGTCCCAATAGATCACAACAAAACACACACGAGAAAAAATATGACAATATTTTATCTATGTCAAAATTTTAACAGGTGGTATACATGAGCCGAAAAATCAATGACATATTTAAACATTTTTCCTTAAATAACAAATACTTATATTGTTATAAGTATTTGTTAATACAAATTAAATAATACACGTTATGAGTATTCATGCAAGTTTTCTCAACTGAAATTATTGAAGGTATAGCAAAAAAAATTGTTAAAAATTTATACTACCATCTCTTGAAGACACAATTCAAATTTGGTATGCCATTGTAAGGATATAAAGACCTTAAAAACTTTATTGCACTTTGATTGCGAAGTGAGCCAGGAAAAAAAAGACAAAAATTAATAAACTTTTGGCATAGGTTCAAAGATGTATCGGATAACCTATAGAGGAATATGACTAGATTGGAGTCTCTTTTAATCCCAAAAATATATATAACTACACAATAAATTAATTGTTCATATTTAATATGAAGTATGGATAGATTCAATAAACTAATGGTCTAAAACTGAATTTTTGTTCCAAGGCACAAGCCATACATAAGGGAAAAAACGTACCCGCATCGGATGTATACACCAAACTAATGCAATTTCCACATTACCATTCATTTTCTTTTTCTCTCTTTTAGGAAGGTAATATACTAGCTAGTTTAAATTCTATCCATTTAGACGTCACAGTGCATGCAATGTGTTTTTTTTTTTGGAATTCGGAAAGAATATGCAACAACTCACAAACTACTCAAGAGATATACCGAGCAATGAGCTCAATTTAGAAGGTACATACCTAAAATTCTTTGACAATCATTATAAAATCTTGAGTTCCAACAAGATCAAAATTCAATACACACAACAACAACAACAAAAAATAAGAATAAAGCACATAAAATTCATTAATAAAAACAAAAATCAATAAAATTACTAAAAAAATCAAATTCTAAACAAAGTCCCAAATACACTAAATTACGAAACTAATTAAAAGAAGAGATAAAAGAAATGATCTAAATCATTAATTTCATAATTTATGCAAATCAACAAAAATGAAATAAGGAAAAGAAACTGATTTGGAGCATAACAAGGAACACGATATCCTATAACTAGTCCTTGATTAGTAAGAAGTATAGTTAATAATTAATTCGTTACTAATTAATTTTTTATTCGGATATTAAATATGTCATTCTTTACTGCGATTGGAAAAAAGCTTTGCTAGGGTTTTATGATGGCTCCTTGGTCTGATCTTCCTATTGAACTTGTTGAAAGAATTAGTAAATTCGTCAACAGCCATATTGATATCCTTCGCATTCGTGCAGTCTGCAGTTCATGGCGTTCAGCATTTTCTCCTAATTTCAAAATCCCCAAATCTCAGTTTCCCATCAAACTGCCTTTCCCCAACGACCTATTCTGGCCTTATAATGACATATCTCATTGTAATTTAATCGAAAGCACAGTTTATCTTTTACAACTTCCTCATCCTCCTCACACAGGCTGGTTAGTCAAGATTCTAAAAACATCACACGGAGAATTGAAGATTTTGAATCCTCTAACCAACAGAGTAATTGGTGATTTGCCTGATCAGAAATTGAATTTACTAGATATACGTGTTTCTCAAGTTTGTAAATTCTATCATGTCCATTGTGTCTTAAACTATAACTTACATTGTGTGCTCGGATTTGATTTATTTAATAAAATCTTACCTATTTGGAATGATCAAACCAATCATTTTTCTGTAATGGCAACTAGTATTTTTGATCACTTACTGTGTTTTAAGTCAGAGGATGAGAAATGGACTACCTTGAAAGATCCCACTAGTAAGATTGTCGATATTAGTGTGTATAAGGGGAATTTTTATGCTGTTGATACTTATGGAGAGACCATAATGTATGATCCCTTGTTTAACCAGACCATCGTATCTTCCACCGTCAACATATTTAACGAATGGGGCAGTAAGAAACGACTGGTGGAATCAGGTGGGGAGTTGTTTCTGGTTGATATGTTTTTAGATACTGATGTTAAGACAGAGTTGCATGGTTCTCAACCTTCATGGAAATGTCCCAAAGAAATTAAGGTTTGCCGGCTTGATGAAGAACAACATGAGTGGATTGCAGTGCATACATTGGGTGATCAAATTTTCTTTGCTGGTGACGACTGTTGTTTCTCTGTTTCTTCATCAGATTTTGGTGATCAGTGCAGAGGAAACTGCATTTACTATGTGAATGGAGGTATCATTGTGAATATGAGTAGGCGCCCGCCAAAGTACTATGACTATGACTTTGAAGATTATTTGGTATGTGGTCTTAGCGAGGAGGTGAAACTTAGATATAAAGGATTACATCGTCATCACACAGGTATCTTTAGCTTACAAGATGGTAAACTTGGTTCATTGTTATCCTTCCTTGAATATGCAGATATTTTCTGGCCACCCCCATCTTGGCTTTTTACTGACGATGATGAGGCAGCTTCTAAAGAGTTATGGCATTTTGTAATTGATGATAGACATGTAAGGTCGGTTAATGACAGGCCCTACATGAAGAAGGTTTGGTATAAAAGGTATCAATGACCTGAAGATTTAGATTCTTTGTTTATGAAACTCAATACCTTTCGTTCCTTGATTGACTTGTTTATATTAAATGTTGAATTCGCCATTTAACATGCTGCATAACGTTTTAAATATCCTTGATGGTGTTTGTCATGTGCCAATGAGTTTTCCAGATCAATATTGATGACAAAAAGTGTTGGATGATAGTAACGGGAACAAGAATCGTGTATCATGTTTATGTATTATGCATAAAAAGAAACAAATGTAGCTTTTAGGAGTTGCAACTTCCCGCAGATATATCTTTTCTATTACATTAATGTTACTCAATTTGAAGTGTTTGGAGGTATAGTGTATTACCGCTACGAATTCTTGAGCAGCTGAGAGTTGAACAAGCTTGTACCCCTCTGTCTCCCCTTAGACTCATGCATTTCAATTTTCATCAAACATTAGGATTTGTAGGACAGCAACACTAACATGAAAGATTAGCATCTCCTCCAGATGTCATTGTTCTTTTCTCTATAATTTTCAACATCTCCTTTTCAAACCTGTTTTGTATTGCTTGACTTGAGCCGAGGATCTTTCGATAACAATCTCTCTGCCTTCATAAGATATGGATAAGGTCTGCGTACACACCACCCTCTCCAGTCCCCATTTATGGGATTACACTGTGTATGTTGTTGTTGCCTCAATAAGGAAAAACAGACCATGGAACCATCTTAGTTTTCCTGCCTATTGCTTCCATGGATAAACCTTAGCAAAGCTCTACTAGACATTCTTATTTAGACTACTGATTGAGATGTAAATTTCAATGGTAACTCTTTCTGGCATGCCATTAGAATCTCTCAGCATCACTCTATTATCATCAACATTGTGACATAACAATAGAGAAAAAGTAACATTGAAATTAGCCAGCTCATTAGAACTAGCTCACATGGGTTTTGAAATTTGACGGATCAAGCCGACCTGATCCATATTATTGATGGGCCCTAAAATAGCTAGTCCAACCCATCACTATGTGGGTTGGGCCGATCCACTTTTTATAAAAAAGAAGTTTGAGAAATTATATAATTAGATATAGTCCCCTTAAATATATATGTGGGGTGATTTTTCCATATTTTTATCACTTATTAAGAGCCTTCTACCATATTGAGGAAGATACACTAGATATATGTATTTTTGCTACCAGATACACTGAAATAGGGAGAGAGACGAGCGAGATAGTTATGTATATATGAGAGTGGCGAGATGGGAGGGAGGGAAGCGAGATTTGTTATGTATCCTAGATACATGCAAATCCACTTGGATACAGTGTAATCTAGAACAAATAACACCTAATTTTAATTCCATATATCGCAAGATACATGTATCTCATAATATTGCAAACTAGAGTATCGGTAGCTTCGAAACTAGTGACAATTCTGCAAGTTTCCCATAATATTTTTAAATTTTAAATTTAATTTCTAATTTTGAAATGCTAACATAAATATCTGTTTGGTGATACTATTTGCTAGATGTTAATCAAGTCTCAAATCCATCAACACAACAATCTTAGTAATACTTATTATTGATTGTGACTTAAAGTAAATAATTAATTGTATTATTTCAATCTGAATCACTGTCATTGTATGCAAAATCTTGAATACAATCAACCAGAAAACAATTTTGTTGGACATAAAACTTTTATAAAACCGAATAATTATTGACATGACACTACTCGAATCAAATAAAAATACTAAATAAACAAATTTAGCAGTTAATAAATAATAATACAATTAGTTGTTAAATAGAAATATTAACTTAATGTTGTTCGAACAGATCACAACAAACCATCCACAAGAAAAAAGATGACAATATTTCATCTATTAAAATGAGCTTAAGTATTGTAAGTTTGAATTCCTCTTATTAAGGGCAACAGACTTGTTTCGATCGGACCAAAAAACTTATTCATTAAAAAAAAGAGAAGTATTGAAAACACTTCTAAATTTGGCGTAAATTATTAATTCCATCTCCAAATTATTGATAGACTTAAAAACACCTCTCTACTTGACTAATTTGACTTAAATACACCTCCAATTTGTCACATGATTTTGTAAATAGTCTCAAACTCTTGTATATGAGTGTGAGGATCTTAATTTAAAGTCGAGAGAAGTGTTGAAAACATCTTCTGAAACTAACAACCTCATGTTTATTTTATTTTTTAAAATATCATTTATTACTTGTTATTTTCTTATTGGATGAAATAAAAATTCCACCCAACATATTTTTTTTCCTATAATTTTTTCACCCGAAATAATACACCCGCATTATAATCCATTTTAAGAAATAAATAAATCACGTAATCATAATTCTTATAATAAATATTTATAATGAACAATAGAACTAGTTGAAGCATGTTTAAGAAATAATTTTGGATTAAATTAAAGAATGTAAAAAAAATATAAATTGAACTAATTCATGACTCATTGAGACTAATACTGTAATTGAACCAATCGCTTGTCTTCGTGTATTTACACCATAGTAAACAATTTAACAATAAATTATAGTATTCATTTAACAAGTCTTTTACGTCTTTTGATTTTTTAATTTGTTTTTTTTTTAAAAAAAAAATATGGGTCGTATTGCCGATATATTAATTTGGTTTGGCTAAATTATAAGGAAAAAATCTAACAGAAGTGAATTTTTTTAACTAGTCAATATTCCTAACATAATTATTAAAAACATCTCTAGTTTAAAATAATTGAACATTAGTTTATTTTAATTTTTAATTAGTAAATACACAATTTTTTTTGAAAATTAAAATTTAATTCATAACATTTTAAAACAAAAAAAAATTTGAACAATTTTTTTCATCTATAACAACCAAATTTAAACATCAAATGATGTTTAGAAATTGGGGGTGAAATTAATATTTTTTCACGTTTTTGAATAAAATCTCAAGACTCCAATTGGCCGACCCGACTCTTTCAGAGTATTTCAGTGTTTTCGTCCTCCATTAATGGCGGTGACCAGCAACTCTCTGGGATTACCAATCACCCATTGAGGTATGCATCAAAAAGTGTCCGTCTTTGTTTTCTTTTTGTGTTTTAGTTTATGCTGTTGAGGTATCTGTGCCATAACAATGTGTTTTCATGGTTCCTCAGAGGCAAATTGGGGTTAGTCTTTATATTTTCGATCTCAATTGACTCTATCTTCTATGTCCGCTGATTTTTTGTATCTCTGAGATATTCATTTTATGCATAGGTTGAACTTTAGAGGCATAACATTGTAGGTCTTACTACCGTTCTATAAGTCTTGCCTTTTTTCCATGAGGCATAACATTGTAGGTCTTACTACCGTTCTATTAGTCTTGCCTTTTTTCCATATTCAAACTTGTTCCATGGTTTATCAATTAACACAACTAGTCTATAAATAGCATAAACATTGGACCTTATCCTAACTTTTTAATAAATATCTTATGTAATTGTACTTGAAAGGGGAAATTTGTTTTGCTTTCGTAACTGGAAAAAGCATCAAACATTATGAAATTGTGGCTATAATGAGGAGGAAAATGTGCTCTAGGAATTTCTTTTAAAAAGATTTTTCAATATTATGGTTTCTCTGTTATACTTCAAATGATTTTGTTATTGAAATATGTCTCTTGTTGTTGTTTTTGCACTCCCATTGCTCATACTGATTACAAGTTTGATGCTGTTTCGAACTTTTGTGCCAACTGGTGTTGCGCCAGTTAACTCATGAGGGATTTTATCGGTCGTAAAGAACAAATGACTGATGTTTCTTTAGATAGAGGGGGGAGGGGGATAGATAGTGTTTGGACGTTAGGGAAGAAAATGATGTTATTTTAGAGGGGGGTGGGGGGTGTAGTTAGTGTTTGGATCTTAGTCAGGAAAATGAAGTTATTATAGAAATAGTGTTTGCTAGTATATATTAGAAGTGAGAATGTGGAGGAGCTTATAGTAAAGTAAAGTAATGTGTATAGATATTAAAATGTATCAAATTTATTTTATATTGCAAGTGTATATTCTTTTCTTTCCCTTTTTCCCTTCCTCTTCACTTCTATTGACCACTGAACCCTTTTTGCTTAACTTGTTCAAGCAACAAAGTCCAAGGCTGATATTAGGGTGGAGTGGGCACAAATTCTTACCGGAGATACGTACATTTTTGGTTCGTTCTCTTTTTAAACTATCTAAATCTTATCTGCAGTATCAAGAGTAATACTAACCGTATTCGCTTTCAAATTTGTTAGTTCAGTTGGAGAAATGTAGTTGCCACTTGCCAACGTAATGGTAAACCTTCAAATAGGATTTCAAAGCAGTGACTTTGAAATTTGTTAGCTTTTCAGTCAATTGGTGTTTTGCTGAATTTTATTATTTGCTTCAGTTCGTTTGATGACCATTCTGGTATCTGATTTCAATTTGTTTATCCTATTTCGACTTGCATGAAGTTTGAGAAAGTAAAAAATACTTTTGAATTTTGTGGTCTTAAAGTAAAAGATTAGTAGAATGTCCTTTAATCTTGTGTTAGAAAGGTTAATGATTATTTTCCTGTTTTGTTTACATTTTATTTTTAATTAAACGCACAGGGTATTAAGGATTTCTTTCCATTATTGTATCTCTTATACAGTATAATTCTTATTGCAGGGGTGGATCGGCTAAAAATCAATCTTTTTAAGCTGTTACAGACTGTTTGTTGGTGTTGCAAATGTGTGGGAAATGCAGACGATATCCATCCACAACTTTGTAATTACTAATTATAGTTTTACCATTTTTAGTTTATGCCCTCCCGCTTCAGTGCACAACCAAGAAACCTTCCTCTGTCCCAAATTGAGAAGTTCATACCTAAGAAGTGGAGGAGTGTTAGAGAATCAGACCCCCAAAACTGTTGCCAGACCTTGCTGTATAGTTCTCATGAACGTATTTCAGGGACTTGTAAAGCAGGTAATGAACCTATGGTGGATTGCCTCCTGACAACCTTGAAGGACTTTGCAGGCCAAGGTCACATACGCAAAGCCTTTAGAACTTTTT